CTCTCACCCGGGGGACCTTGTTTTGGTTTGAACATTCCAACACAGGAACTTGAGGTCTCGGCTTCCCCGGGCACTGGCCCCCAAGAGGAAGGAATGACGGCTGTTGCTAGGGGATCGCTTCTAATGAGAACCAGATCGCCCTTCCTGACCCACACGCACACCCGCGCACGGGCAGGGCGGCGGAAGGGCCTTCGGGGGCCTGCGTGACGTCTGCCGGCGGCCGGAGGACGCGGAACTTCCAGGGCCGGGACCTGGCGTCGGCGGGCGTGCTGGCTGCGGAGACTCGACACGCCGACGCCACACACGCCGCCTGCAGGCCAGGGCCGCGGGACGAGGAAGCATCGTCCTCCCTGTCCGGGGTCACCCCGGTGTCCCTGCTCCAGAGGCAGCCAGCCCGGTGGTCAAGCAGCGGGAGTGTGGGGTGAGAGAAAGCGACGGTGTCCTCACTGACCTGCCCGCCTGTCAGCCCCACTGCTGCAGGCAGGAGCCGGGCGCCCTCCAAGGCCAGGGCGCCCCTCCCCTGACCCACAGGGAGAGTCAGGGGCTTCAGCTGGGCCCTCTTGAGGGGACCTGGTACTTTCTCATGGCATCAGCTCAGAGGCATTGAAAAGCAAACCCCGTTATCGTGCCCTGGGCCCAAGGAGCCCCGTGGCCATCCCGTGGCCACCCAGGGGGGTCAAGGAAGCAGGAAGAGGAGCAGGGGTCCAGGCAGCAGGCGAGCTCATGACTCACTCCTCCAAGGTTGACTTGGGGCACTTCCAGAACCTTGTCTGCACTGCAATTCGGCACAGCTCCTAAAAGCCAGACTCCCGTCCAAAAAAGCAAGTCGCTGATAAGAAAATGGGCCCTTTTTCCTCTGGCCCTTTCCCTCCTTAACTTCCTTTTAACACCCAGCGGCTCTGTCTTGATTGAGAAGTAACTGCCAACGTAAGACCTCTTTTCTTTGCGGCTCTAAAGCAAAGCAATTGTGATCTTGACATATCAACCAGATAAACCCAACTTAATGGGAACGTTCAGTGGCCAATGACAAGCTGCCAAGAGCAAAGTATTAGGTTGGCAGAGTTTAAATTACTTAATAACATCCAATGCCAACATTAAGTCAGGAATTGCTGAGCATCGGGGAGAGTTATGAATTAGGGATTATGAGACTGGAGTTGAAGCAACGACTTGATCCAATGTGGAAAATCCTCTTGCTCTCAACTTCCCTTTGAAGCCCAGCCACTCATGCCAAACTATAAACATATCACTTCCTGAAGGCTCTGCCAGGTCACTTCAGCGTGCAATCAAGTACCAGCCGCGCGCTTCCGAGACCCTTGCGGACACTCAGCAAGGACGCAAGCCCTCTCCGGCCCGCCTGCTCCCAAGCAGGGTCCAGCCACCACCTCGTTTCCCAAGTAGACAAACCATTAGCCGGCCTGGCTTCACCTGACTCAACCATCAATGCATGTCTGTTCTCAAGAGTTTGGGGTGCAGCTTGGCCACAGAGTCCCGTGTTGCTCAACCAAGTAGCCTCACACAAAGACATCGTCAGTCATCAGCCTCGCACGTCCCCACACCCTGGCGGTGCAGAGGACGGCTCCCTACACAAAGCGCCGAGCGCTCCAGCTGGGGGCAGCTGAGCTGGCGCACAAGGGAGAGAAAACTCTCCCTTTGGCCAAGGACAAGGGACAGAAAGGGACAGAGCTGCACCCAAACTATAAATTAGCTGCGCCTCTATTCCGCTCACCTTAGGGGTGTTTAAAAAAAAAAAAAAAAATCAAGCTGTAACCAGACTGTCACGGCTTCTATCGAGAATACTTTTTATTATACAGGTATCATATACACACCGTTACTGGGGAGGTTTACAGGCATGGAGCTCAATGCCAGACCTCGAGTCACCCACACACGTAGCACACTCAGTGCAGGGCCCCTCCCAGCAGGCAGAAGCAAAGTCCCTGCTTTGCGAACAGCCGTTAAATGGAACTCTCCAGCGTCCAGAACAGCCAGGACCCTTCACGCCTTACTACCCTGTGTCCATAGGAATGAAAACCTTGGCAGGTATTTTAGACTAGCCCGTCACCTTGAAAAGCTAATATTAAAATTGAATCCCATTCTCAAAAAGTCGTAAGAAGTGCACCCGTATTTACAGACCCCATTAAATTATGCATAAATAAAATCTGTACACCCAACACACTGCTTGGCAAAATCCAGAGCCTTCTCCAGGTCTTGGGGATGACAGGCAGTCCCCCCCAAAAAAAAAAGAAACAAAAAGCTTCATGCCTGCCCTTTCAAGTTTACTCAAAACACCAAGATGTGAAATAAATATGCAAATAAAGCTTCAGTACCTTAAAGGAACATGTCCTTTCAAAGATTCTCCTATTGGAAGAGTTAACTTTCAAAAAAGTATTTAAAAAAAAAAAAATCAGTAGGCTTTTTTCCTTTTTTTTTTTTTTTTAACAAGTTTTGAAAGATCCCCTTGGAAACAGGGGTGCAAAATGTGTCAAATACCACCTAGTCACTAGTTGCTCAGCTGATAGAATCTGTCGCCTGCTGAATGTGGGATCTGGTATCTGAAGAAGCTAGATAAATACTTTTTGAAGATAAATATTTAGTGGACACGGAAGCCAGCCATTACCTTAACACTGAATAAAAAAAGGTTGATCTGAATCTCGTTCATTCGACATTTTCAACAGCTACATGTAGGTTTTCGTTGTGAGCCCAGGGGATTTATTTAAAAGGTTCTGAAACTTGTAGCACCACTTCAGAGCAAAGGAGGCGTAGGGTTCCAAACAATGAAATCAAAGCTTAGTGAATAAAGAACCAGCACTTGTCACCTTCAGAGAAGCTGTCCAGAGCTGCGGTGGAGAGCAAGGTCAACAGAGGCGGCTGAGCGGGAAGGCGGGTAGCAGCTCTGTGCGCCCCGGCCAGGGGTCCCCGCTCTGTCCCAGGGGAGCGTGAGTTTCCTGGCCCTTTTCCTCCCAGATGCTTCCATCCTCGCAGGCCCCGTTTCATTTCCTGTGCTTCTCCATCTTCTCCAGGGTTTTGCTAGAATCCGCGGGACTCTGGTCACCAGGGTTCATGTAGGACTTGTCTATGACTAGCAGAGCCTCTTTGATGTAGTTCTGCACAGCAGACACGGCGGCACAGATGGCCTGGCTGCCGAAGCCGTGGGTGATGAGGCTGAAATGCGACAAGCAGTTCTGGATGTTGGACTCCAAGACGGGGGTGGGTCTGCTGTTCCCGTTGGGTGTTCGGTCTTGGTTTAGTAGGTCCGTGAATTCCTTGCACACTTGTCTGTGGAGAGAGTCACACACCCGTGAGCTCCATCTCGCTCCAGACAGGGAGGGGTCAGGGACAGGACAAGCCGCCAACACACCCCCCGCGGCCAACACTAACAGCCGGTGGCTGCTCTTAGCACCTATTCAGTGCTCGGCCCCAGCATTTGGTTTTTCATCATCCTCCCTGCAATTAAGAAAGATTAGTCCCAGTCACCACCACCAGTACCAGCGGGGTCAGATCAGCCCGGGAGGCGAGGGGGTGGCCCCGTCCTCAGGGCAGGTGGTTCCGAAACCTGCGGGAGCAGGACGTTACACGTTCCCCGACCGGACCCAGCTGGGCCCCCGTGCCCCCTTTTGCCCCAATTCCTGGCTTGATGTCCCAGCATTTGAAACATCAACTTACTGTTGCTTTCTAAGAGAAACCTCACAGCGGCGGCATTAAGCACTTCTAGAGACATTTAATTTGCCAGGTTCCCAACAAATCCAGCCCAGAGCGTTGCATTTAAGCACCAAAAAATGTGGTCAGGACACACAGGCACCCCACTTTCACTGGATGTGACGAAACTGCGTCTGTCCGCACATTATGCTCAGCTCTGCAAAGACAGTCACGAAAGGCTGACCGTGCAGCTGGGCAAGAGAGCAGCACTGGCCACTCCACGCCCCTGACCTGCCCGACAAGGTCACTTCTTCAGGCTTTGTTAAAAGCAGCCTCCTGACCCTTCTCTTTGGCTGCAGGCCCCAACTTACTCAGCCATCTTTTCTTCCTTGCACTCGGGGAGTGTCTCAGACACGCACACACACGGACACATGCACGGGCCCACGCACGCGCCACGCGAGGTCGGCAGCAAGCCCTCAGTCGAGGCTGGACACTTACTGTGCGGCCAGCAGCATGTTCTTCCGAGTCGCCATCTCATTGCGACCTCCAAGATGAGGCCTGGTTAAATATTCTGCCACTGGTTTACTAGGGAATTCTGCTTCGCAGACATAGGCAAAGTCCCGAGCCAGATGAACAGCCTCACCTGGAAACACGAGTCAGGGAACCGACTTAGGGCGGCGGCTCTGGCAGCCCGGCCTCGAGGCCCCCTCTTCCAGCAACCCTCAGACGCTTCGTACCCCACATTGAAGCCACTGAAAGTCACGCTCTCCGACCGGGATGGAGGGCAGCATCACACATGGGGGGGAAAGACCAACTTTCCAATTATATCGGAACCATGCCAAGCAGGGCCCGGGCCCAGCCGGACCTGAACCTCCCAGCCTCCACCTGGCTTTTTCTCTGTGAACAACGTCGCATTTGTGTGAAGAAGCAGGGAAGTTTACCATTTGACAGAAGGAAATGGGTCGGGTCTCTCTCTGAAAGACTAAGCTCTTGGCACGGGACTTTCTTTTATAAGTTAGGGGAGCCCAGGATGGCGGGGTCAAGTCTCCACAATGTTTATTTCAGGCAGGCAGGGCTGGTTCCTATTAGAAATGCGAAAAGCCCCAACTACCAACTTGGGCCACTCCCTTGTCCAAGACACTGGTGCTCGGAGGGAGGAGCCGGCGAGAGCACCTCCCCCAGAGGTGGGGTTCAGGGTGCAAGGCCACATGCTGTCCAAACCCCACAATAGTGCATGCCCTGATTCCACCCCTTTACACACACACCCCCCCCCCCCCACCCCCCGCCTTTCAGGACTCAGCCTCAGAATCCTTGTTCTGGCCCACTCAAGAGCGTCCTGCATGCTCGGCTGGCCAGCTGGACACCCCAGCCCGCCACATGCACAGGCTGCATGCTCGGACACCCCCACTTCTCCATCTGCCCCCAAGCAGATCTCCAAGGACGCATGTAAACAGGGAGCGCACAGCTCTCTGCCAACCCTCCTCCAGCTCACCAGCGGAGCCACTGGAGCTGAGGGTGCTCCCCCGGCCCCTCCCCCACGCCCCACTGGACGGGCCCTGGAGGCTCCAGGGGAGTCTCAGTGCTACACTCCATTTTCCTTTTGTTTTAAAAACATTAACTTCAGGGCCCTCGCTGCAGTGCAGCACTATGAAGCTGTCCGCAGCCACTCAGCACAAGTCCCATCCCGGCCAGGGAGTGACCTACGTAGTACAGCAGACCCCTCCTGTCTCACCCAGTGCTCCCCTCAGCACCTCTGGCCTGTACCCCAGTTCTTGCACGCATAAATAAATAAATCTTTAATATATTGGGTCCTCCATGGTGGTGCAGCAGGTTAAAGCGCAGCACTAAGAAGCTAAAGCCACTTCAACATGAGTTGGATCCCCACCCTGGAGGTGACCCCAGGGTGCAGCAGACCTCTCGTGACCCGCCCGTTGCTCCCTCAGCAGTGTACTTCGTCGATCTGCCTGTTCTGCTCCCCACTGTCTCTGGTGAAGCCTCTCTCCACCCCTGCACCTCTGGCCTGTACCCAGCTCTGCATGCATCAATAAATAAATCTTTAATATATATTACATCATTTTCCCTTGCCCCTTCAAGGCTTGCTTGCCTTCTAGGCTGTTTGGGGGGTGGGGGGGACCCGTCCCACAAGCTATGGGTGGGGGAAGGGGCACATCCGTGGGTCCTGGACTTTCCTCATTTGGGGTGGAAATGAACAAAGAAGGTGAATCATGAGCGAAAAGGGCTTTCTCTGCATGCCTCAATCCCAACATTTCACAGCCACAAAATGTCCCCAGAAACAGGACATCTGAGGGCCCAAGAGTAAGCAGGCGTTTTATTGAACGGGGTGACACTGCAACTCATATAAGCTTCAGACATGCCCCACGGTAAGCCAGATAAGCCAGCGTCTGTCTGTGCTAAGTTCCCCGAGAAAAGTTCATGTCTCCCCTTGCCTTCCAGGGCCGAGTTTCAAAGGTGCACCAGCTGACTGACTGCAGCTTTCAAAACTCAGTTTGTGCAACCGGGAATGCTGACACCCCAGTGTGCGTTGAAGTCGGGAAACCAGATTTCTTCTAAGCAGGGATTTTCTGGGAACTCAGAACACTTAAAACACCTATGCCAATGTTGAGTTTGATTTGCCAAAACCACTGTGCTTCACTGAAAAGTTGTGAAGCTTAGGACACAGCCGAGTGCTTTCCTCCTCCTTTCTCTAGGCTGCGGACACCACCCAGCTTTCCGACCGCCAAGGCCACTGACCTTCCACCAGGGACGTCAGGAGGGTGACATGCGCAGCTTTCCGCCTCCCAGCGGGAAGATTCAAGCCGATCTTGTCCAGTTTCTCCCGCAAAGACCGGCCTCCGTTTTTAGACTTGGCTCTGGGTGACAGAGCAGAGGGTGGCCGTTCAGTGAGCCACACTGGAAAACCCCGCCCTGCCCACGTGCTCGTCAACGCTGAAACCCCCGAAAGCCCATCAGCGTGATGGACAGATGGTAACCCAGGGCCCAGGAGGCTTCTGTCAAATTCACCTGCGCCAACTTATTTTTCATCAGCACAGAACACTGCGAGATGTCCTGGAGCAGACACACTCTCACTTGTTAAAACAGCGGCAGCACCTCCACCCCAAGTAAAAACACCCCAGGGGGACAACAGCCCCGGAGCTGCCCTTCCCTAACGCAAGTGCCACCGTGTGTGTCACCCATGAAAGCCAATTCCAACCGCGATAATTCGTTATCACTGTTCTAGCACTTTCTCTTGCATTTGGCACTTTTTTCTGAGAGAGAAGAAATGTACAGAAACTCTGAGCCGATTAGAATTCAGCGTTAGGCTTAAAAGTTACATAAATGTTAAAAATACCTCCGGTCCCTGTATACATCCCCCCCTTCACCCACCCAGCCACGGGCCCGGGACGCGCCCACGTACCTCCTGAGGACACCTCCCAGCAGCGAGGCGTTTAAGCACTCGGGCGGGGACAGTCTCCGCTGGACTTCAGCGACGGTCACTTTATATTTAGACGTAGAGCTGAGGAGGGACAGTCTTCCCGGAACGGAGCAGAAGACCTCGCTAGGGTTCATCACGGCCCCCACCAGCTCCTTCTGACAAGGGAGACTCAAAGGGTTCTTGGTCATTGAAATGGGACCTGGGAGTGAAGACTGGAGGTCAACAGCCACATCCCAGCCACGGAGGCCTTTCCAAACCATGCATCAAGGTGGAGAAAGACGGGGCTTGAAATTCGGGGTCCATGTTTTTTAAAGTCACACTCCTCAAAGATAATCCAATCTGAGATTCACAAGTTAACGCCTTGGGAAGATAATGAGTCCGGATCCTAAGCACCAAGCACCGAGGTTCTCATTTCCCAGCCACTGCTAAAATCTATTTAATTAGAACATTTGTTTTCCAAAGAACTGCGCCCATAACCAAATACCTGACTTTGTTTTCCTCAACGAACAACCAAAGTACTAAGACTGATATTCAGCTCTTTTGCCAAAATCTTTCAGTGAAGCTGACAGCACAATAGAAAATAATACAAACACACCTGTTCTGTAGACATAACTGGAAAACTCAGTTTATTTTCTGAGTTCTCCCTCAAAACTGATCTTCCCCACTTGCTTTTTAAACGGTTTAACTACGCCTTTAACTTCCATCCTCTCCAGTTCCCAAAATGGCCTGCCTAGGAATCCGGTCAGTACATAACCTGATTCCATAAGCCACTCATGTACCACCTAATCCAATTTCCCAAATCCCCTTTCCCAGTTCCTGCAAAGAATCCTAACAGGTCCCCTCCGCCTGGTTTGAGGCACGTAGAAAAATTTCTTTGCTAGACCAGATTGTTTCAATACATTTTTTCTTGCCGACCCAAACTGAAGTCTCCTTATCACAGATGTTCTTGAAATCAGAAATCCTATCAGCTCACACAGTGGATCCTGAACCAACCCTCAGCTGGGATGCGGGTTTTTCTGTGTGGGCTGACTCCTGGAAGGCGGGCCTGGAAAACGGGAACCCCTGGGGCTCAAGGCCTCAACCCCCAGAAGCTGCAGTAACAGACCCGGAAGTGCACGGCTCCAGGCACCCTCTCCCCTTGGGGTGGGAAAGAAAGGCGACCTAAGCCTAGGTCCAGTCCCCTCGCCACGTGCCCCAGTCAGCCACCAAGGGCCTCCGCCCCTGCCAAGAAGCTTAGAACTTCGCCCGGCAGTGAGAACACCGGCGGCGGCTGCAGCGGGAAGGGAGAGGCTCCCGCCCTCCACCTACCTTTGCGGATAACAGTCTGGTCGTGCAGAAGCAGGTGCTGATCCTCGACATTCTGGGGGAGAAACGGACAGAGTCGCCTTTAGTTGGGGGCGCAAGGCCGAGCGCCCGGTCGCGGGGTGGGGGGGCCAGAAGCCCCGAGGGCCGCTCACCTGCACCTCCTCCATCTGGTGCGCCACGTCGTGGAGGCCCAGGCTCTCGGCCAGGCCCGCGGCGTCCAGGGCGTGAGCGTGCGGCAGCAGCAAGTCCGAGCGGCGGTAGGCGTCCCGGCGGGCGCTCATGGCGCCCCCCTCGAGCCCCGAGAGGTGCGGGATCAGGCCGGCGGGGCGCCCGTGGTGCGAGGGCAGGCCGGCGCCCTCCTGGCTCTGGCGGCCCGGCCAGGCCTGCTGCTGGCTGCCGGCGGGCGCGGGCTGGTGGAGGGGGTTGATGGCCGCGGCGTAGGCCTCCCCGAGGTGCGAGTAGGGGTCGGCCGACTGCGAGTACGCCAGCTGCTGATACGGGGGCGGGAAGTAGGGCGGCGGCTGGTATTCGGCGACTCCGGTGTGCGAGAGCGGCGGCGCGGGGCTGTAGAGGTGCTGTCCGGCCGAGGCCAGGTGCGGCAGGCGCGGGTTGCCATTGCTGCTCGCGTCGTGGCGATCCTGGGGGAGCCGAGACCCTGTTAGCGCGAAACCCGGCTCCAGCGAACCGGCCGCCGCCCCCGGCGCCCCCCCCCGGGGACGGGCCCGCCCCGCCAGACCGGCGCCCAGACCTGGGGGAAGGCTTCCCCGAAGCCCTGCGGCGGAGACCTGGGCGCTCCGACTCCCGAGGCGCTCTGAGGCTCCAGGTCCGAACCCCAAGCCTCGCGCCAGGAGTAGCAGAAACCGGGGCCCCGGGACGCAGCCGGCGCGAGGCGCACGCGGGGCAGAGCGCGGTCGCTCACCAGCCCGCACATGCCGGCGCGGGCGGAGGACGCGGGCGGAGGGCGCGCGCGGCTGGGGAAGTGAGCGGCCTCCCCGCCCCGACCCTCCCTTCCACGCCCTTGGGACAAAAGACCTCCGGACGAGCGACACTCCCTACAGGCCAGCCACCCGGCAGCGCCCGAGGACGGGGGCAGGACGCGCGGCGGACGGCGGGGCGGCCTCCCTGCGGGCGGCACCGCGCGGCCCAAAGGCCCGGGAACTGGGGCCGCTCCGCCGGACACGGCCCGGGGCCCCACAAGTCGCCACAAACGGGGGCATTGGGGACCCCGGGAACTGGGCGCCCTTGCCTGAGCACGTCCCCTCGCCCCACGGCTGTCCGACTTCGGTCCCAATCAGAGGACGGGGTCCAAGTGTCCCCAGGTCACAGGGGTAGCGGGGACCAGATGCATGGCACGGTCGCCCCCTAGCGGAAGTGTCCGGGCGTGCAAACGGGGTAGCCCCTCGAGGTCCGGGGTGCGGTGAGCTCCCGCGCCGCGCCAGCCGCGGCTCCTCTCCCGGCCCAGGCGCACGCCTCCCGCCGCCCGCGTCTTCTTCCTCTTCCCGCTCGCCGCCTCCCTCCCTCCCACTCTCCGGAACTCTAGCTCAACCTGTCCGACAGGCTGGAGCACTCGCGGGCGCTTACGGCCCCATCTGGCCCCAGCACCCCCCTCCCCAGCCCCCACTTCTCTTGAAAGCCAAACTTCGGTTGTTGTGCTTCCCCCGAAGAGGTAGCGGGGCAGGTGACCAACTGGCCGCGGGGGGCACTCGGCGAAGTGGCGCTGGCAGGGCCCCGCTCGCCCCTCGGAGGTTTCGTGCGGCCAGCCGCGTCTGAGGGTGGTAGACCCGGCGCGCTCCCGAGAAAGCCTGCGCTGGGCTTCGCGAGAAACCGACCGGTAAGCCCTGGGAGCGGGACCTGCCTTCCTTCCGAGCCCCGTTCCCGAGAACTGGCCCTTACAAAGGCCCGGCCACGGGGGCGCGAGGGGGCGGGAAACGGGGTGGGGGCTGCGGAAGAGTGGACCCGTCCCATCGAGGGCCAGCGGCGGGTGCCGCCTCGCCGCTGCTGCGCCCTGGCCCCCATCTTGGTCCAGCGGCCCCGTCTCCCAGACTGTACTCGGGCGGGGCCGGGCTGCGCCCCACTGCCAGCTCACCTCGCAGTCCTCTTCATACTTGACATTATCGGTTATTTTCCACAACATGGCGTCCGGCGTCCCCCAAAACAGCCGCCAGTTAAATCCAGGCTCCCCCCACCCCCCGAGCGGTAAATCCAAAATTGGGGTCACGGTGGCCAGGCGTCCGCCGCCGCCCCCGCCGCGCGCGGGCCTTGCTGTTCGGGTCACTGGAGGCGCATCGGCGGTTGTGCGACCGTGGCTGCGGCGCCCGCGGGTGGAGAGGCCGCTGCGGTGGACCAAGGAAGCCGCGCCCGCACCGTGTCCCGGCGATAGCCGGGGGACCCGAGCGCCTTAATGAGAAGGAAATTATCATAACTCCTCCCCGGGGGCCGGCGCCAGGCCCCGGCGCGGGCGGGCCGGCCCCCAGCCAGTCCCAGCCTAGCTCCGCCCCGCACCCTGCCGGGCGCCGCTCGGAGACCCAGGCTTCGGGGGGCCAGAAGAAGATGCGAGTGGGCGGCACCTCGCGGACCGAGGGTGACCTGCCGGGCCAGGGGACCTGCCACTCCCACCGTGAGCGCCGCCGAGACGCGCGGGGCTGGGGCGCGGGATCCAAATACCTAAAAGCCCCGTGTTTTCGCCTCCCGCGTCTTCCCTTCGACCCCCCAAAGATGGGGTCACGTGCAGTTAGGGACTCCGCACTCGGGACGGGCGCAACCGACCGCTGGGCGTGCTTATGTCCCAGTGCAGCCTCGCACCCACCCGCTCCACCTAGACTAAGTTTTGGGTTGAGATCGAGCCCCAGCGCTTCCGACTCTGCCCTGCCCGCCCGCGCCGCCGCACGGCGCCATCCAGCCCCTCCGAGGGGCGGCGGGGAGGAGAGGCCTCCTGGGCAGTGTGCCCCTAAGCGCCAGGGGGCTGGCGGACCGCTCTACGGGCTCCGAAGTAGGGAACGACGGCGTCTCACCGCCGTAGCCCGAAGCTGCGAGTCCGCGGCCGGCTGCGGCCAGGGGCGCCGCGCGCCCTCGCCCAGCCCAGCCCAGCCCTGCCCTGCCCAGCCCTCGCCGGCTCGGCAGCTGACGCCGGAGGGCCTGGCGCTCGGAAGCCTCAACTGGGAAGAGGTGCGGGGCTGTGGCGACCCTAACGCCACCGCGGGGACTGGGGCGTGCGGCCGAGAGCGGAAGTGGAAGGAGAGGAGAGACAGAGGCCCACCCCAGCACCCCGAGAGGTGAGCACCGTCCTTCGGGAGCTGGAGGCAGAACACGAAACTTCCTTCCACGCAGAGGGGGCCTCTCCCCCCCCCCAGAGTACTTGTCGCCCAGACGTGAAAACGATGAGCAATGTTCATTAAAATTTTTCAAAGAAACGAAATCCACTGGCCCAATTGTTGTAACTGACTTTTTTCACTGCAGGGGGAAAGCAGCTCATTCGCAAGGGCGAATTTTGTTGCGATGCCCCAGCTGACTCCCCAAGGTGAACTGTAAACATTCTGGGGGAATCTGACAAGGGGACACTTTCTGTTTTATTCCAGTCCAATCTTGCAGTAGTCGGTCCCTATCGACAGTGTCCCGAGCCCTGGGTGGACCTTATTGCTGCCCACAGTGACTGCAACCACATAGCCTCCTCGGCTTTGTTTGGGCGCAACGTTTCTTTAAAACCATTTAAAACCAGATGGGCCTAAAATAAAATAAATTAAAAATAAACGTTCCCCTAGAGAAACGCCCTTCCTTGCTTTGGAGAAAGACAGATCGGAGGTGACATTCCCACTAAATGTAAGCTCAAACCCTGGAAGGGAAGCCACTGGGGTTTTCTGCTATGTCTGCGGGGCTTCACACTGAATACAAAGGCTGGTGTGCCCTCCCCGACCCCTAACACCTGGCTTCCAAAACCCCGGGGCCTGGGGCAAAGAGGAAAAAAAACCGAGAAGCAACCCGCGGTTTGGGGGTGGGGGCAGGGGACACCTGCGCCAGGTCCGAAAGCTACCGGTCAGCGGGCTCTAGCGCACCCAGGTCATGCAGGGTTGGGGTCCCCACGGCTCCCCGGAGAGACACTGCGGCTCCCTCCTCCTTCCCTGCGCCGGGGCTCCCACATAGGTGACGGGGCTCTCAGGCACGCTGGGCCTTCTAGGGACGGGCTTGATTTCCGGACTCGGTCTGGGGCGCCTCTGGACAAGCGGTCTCGGAGGTGCAGACCACTATACTCCCGCCCCCGGCAAACTGTAGCCAGTACCGCGCAGGTGTCCCCCACCCCTCCAGGCCCCGGCTGTCCTTTCTTCCCGCGGCAGCGCTCACCGACACCACCCGAGGGAAGGAAACTGCTCCGCCCAGGAGCGTCCAAGGAGGAGTCAGAGAGCTGATGGGCCCCGAGGGTCTGTGCGCCAGGCGCGCGAGGGCCCTAGGGGCCCAGCGGTTTCAGGATCGCTGGGCAAGGGCCTTCGTTCCCAAGGCAGTCCCGGACCCGTCGCGGCCCCCTCTCCCGAGGAGCGAGCGCTACAGCGCGACTCCAGCGCCCACGATGGGGAAGCGTCTCAAACACCTTAAGATCTTCCGGGCCAGGGGGACCCTGTCCAAACACGCACAGCCTCGGCCTCAGGCACCGAACCCAAGCTCGCTCGAGATCAGCGCAGGGGGCGGGAAGCCTCAGCGCTTCCTCGAGCTCGACTCCCACCCCCAGCCACCCACCCACCCGCAGCCGTAAGGGGGGTGGCTCCAGCTCCGAACCAGACCTCCCTCCAAAGCCCCAGCCCCCTCCCCGCGCGAGGACCTGGGACGGCTCGGCCGCCTGCCCGGGAAGGGTGCCCCCTGGGGACTCTAGGAGGTCTCGCGGCCATCTAACACAATCTGGGGTTCGTGGGGGGCGCCTCATTCCAAGCGCAGCGTTAATTAAGGACTTGGGGGTAAAGGACTGTCAGGGGCTCCCCTCTGTCGCCCCCTAGGGAGCCTGCACTCTTAAGTCCTGGACCCAGGACCCCATCCTGCTCCGAAAGCGCCAGAGACCCGAGAGGGGAGACTTCTGCCTGGACAGCAGCGCCGCTGTGCCCCACCTCCAGCCCAGGGCGGCGGGGGCCTCTGGAAGCAGCTCCAGGCCCCAGAGTCCGCCGCCGCCCCCACCCCCACCGCAAGCCTAGGAAAGCGGCCGGGCGGGTAGAGCTAGATTGGGGCTGGCCCGGCCCGTGGCTTCTCTTCCCGCCCCAGGGAGGGGGCGCCCAAGCGGCAGGTGGAGGCCCCCGAGCGCCAGGGCGGACGCGGCGCGCGCGCCAGGTGTCTGTCCCGCCCCTCGGAAGAGTGTCAGCTCCCAGGGGCCTCAGTCAGCGGCGGGGCAGGGCGGAGGGCCAGGCCCGCAGCCGGGAGGGGGCTCCCAAGCCGGCCGCCCTCCACCCTCTCTGCCCGCCCTGGCACCCACTGGACAGGCACTGCACCTAACGTCTAACGTCACTAAGGCCTGGCCCTGCGGCGTCACAAGCATCAGTTCACAGCCCCTGCAAAAGCCGGTGTTTTAAAAAAAGCAGATTAAATGGTTCTCAAAGCTGAGGTGCCACTCACGATGCTTCTGGTCTCCGCGGGGGCCCCAACCCAACGACACCTCCTCTTCAAGGTCTCCGCAGCAGGTCTAGTGTTTGAGGGGACTTCTCCACCGTCCTCTCCCCCTACCCGACATCTGCATTTTACAAGGGGCAAAGTGAGGCAGCCGCTGGGGGACCCATCGGACTCGAGGGAGGGGTTCCTCGTGGCCCTGGGTCTAGTCCCTGCGCTCGGCTGCCAAGCTCCCCGGCGCACACCAGGTGGTCCAGTCTCTAACTCGACCCACGTCTCAGCAGGCGAGGGTGAACTTCAGTTGTCCTCAAATGACCTCAACGCCGCCACCTTACCTACGGTGCAGTGCTCCCACCCCCACCCCAGGGACACTCGGGGGCCTGTCAGACAGCCTGACTCTCGAGTCCCCTGCCCTGAGGGTCACCCCGCCCTCCAGAGGCCACGCGAGGCTAGAATGCCCATCACCGCTCCGGGACATCCCGCGGCCCGTCCGTGAGCAGCCAGGCCGCTCCGAGCGCAGGCGGCAGGGCGAAGGCGCGAGCGCGACTCCCCGGGGCCTTCCGGCCGGGTCTCCGACGCCACCACCCTCTCCCGGCCAGCTTAAGCCCGGCGGGCGGCCGGAACGAATCGGCCCGG